TGGTGGGTATGACAGGTGGTGTAGGGGTGGATCAGGGGGTGGGTATGAGGGGGGTGGGTATACAGATGGTGATGGTGGGGTATGACAGATGGTGATGGTGGGCATGACAGGTGGTGGTGGTGGGTGCGACAAGTGGTGATAATGACAGTGATGGCGGGTTCCCTACCAAGAGTCTGGTCAATACAAGAGGGACTGAGGGGAGGTGACCAGGAGGGCAGGTGACCAGGTGAGGCAGGGTGACAAGGTGAGGGCAGGTGACCAGGTGAGGGCAGGTGACAAGGTGAGGGCAGGTGACAAGGTGAGGGCAGGTGACAAGGTGAGGGCAGGTGACAAGGTGAGGGCAGGTGACCAGGTGAGAGCAGGTGACCAGGTGACCTTACTGTATAACTTCCTACAGTAAAACTCACGGTTAAAGTTACTCTAAACATGAACAAAAACAAGGAAAACAACAACAGGAACAACAAAACACACACACAAAAACAAAAAACAAACAAAAAATAAACATACAGCACCTAAAACAACGTAGGAAGCTGTGTGTGTGTGTGTGTGTGTGTGTGTGTGTGTGTGTGTGTGTGTGTGTGTGTGTTAATCCTCTCTTAGACTGTGCCATCAAGGATATGTTATATTTTTTCTTTCTCTCTCTTCGTGCAAATCACAAGCCAGATTGGACAAAGTATCACTTCAGACCACTTGGAGAAAGAGAGAGAGAGAGAGAGAGAGAGAGAGAGAGAGAGAGAGAGAGAGAGAGAGAGAGAGAGAGAGCCATATCATAGCCAATTTACACCTGGGGTAGAAACACTAAGACAACATAACCAATAGAGCCCCGCGCTGACTGAATGTAGGTCTCACTAATTACTTTCCCCATAGGTATACTAAAAGGCGCACAGGTGAGCCATTTACATGTTGTCCTCCAGAAGCTAAGGTAGATTACTTACTGTGTACAAGGGCGCTGGAACTATCAAAGATGTCGTTGTACAGGTGTCGTTGTGAAGGTGTAGTTGTGCAGGTGTCGTTGTGAAGGTGTCGTTTTGCAGGTGTTGTGAAGGTGTCGTTGTACAGGTGTCGTTGCACAGGTGTCGTTTTGCAGGTGTCGTTTTGCAGGGTGGGGGTCAAAGATTTTACTTGATTCATCTGAAGATTTGATACGCCCTCAAGTTGATGTCTACTATCCTTCACACACACACAGAGTTAATTTCACCTGATGATTCAAAATAAACCACTCCAATGATAACTCAAGGTAATTTTAGCCTAACCCAACCCAACCCAACCCAACCCAACCCCCAACACGGCTTGAGGTTATCATTTCCTGCTGGGCGTCCGTACAGTACGTCCTCACTGTCAAAAACACCTCGTAGGATTTATTGCCGAAATACAATATTCAAGGGACATGTTTACAGGAGAAAACACATGTAGGTAGACTGTCCAGCTCACCAATATTGACTCGATAAAATGGGAGGACGTGTTGTGGGTGGTGTGGAGGGGTGGGTGGTGGAGGGGCGGGGTGGTGGAGGGGCGTGGGTGGTGGAGGGGCGGGGTGGTGGAGGGCGTGGGTGGTGGAGGGGGCGTGGGTGGTGGAGGGGGCGTGGGTGGTGGAGAAGAGGGTGGTGATGGAGGGAGGGTTGGGCGTAAGTTGTGGAGGAAGGGGCGTGCAGTTTCGTTCATTTGTTTTTGTCACAGGGAGGAGGGACCTACAACATGGCGGCTTAGGAGTGGTTGCCTGAGTCTGTTTTGATTATCTGAGGTGTGGATGATGGATGATGAGGAGGAGGAAGAGGATAAAAGAGAAGAAGAATGAAGGAGGAGAAGAAGAGGGGTGATGAAGAAGGAGAAGAGTGACGAAGGAGGGGAGTAGACAGCTTGTTTCTCTTAAATTCAACGCCAGTGTCGACCAATGACCGCCTGGCGTTACCATCTAACCAGAAAATGGAACGCACACAAAAGGTTAACACGAACAGTAGCGATGTTTATATGGTACAAACCGAAGCTCAGACCTCCTCCAACAACCTAACTTAACCTAACCCAACCCAACCTAACCTAACCCAACCTAGAGCCAAAGCACTTATGGTGATACAAATGGGTCGATAAACACAGCAAAAGTACGACATTTCGATTACAATCAACAAGTTCCTGAATGCAATGATCTGTGATATTAATGGTAGTCAATGAATCTTTGCTCCTAAAAGCTCAAGACGTTTGTAAACACACCCACACCAGTCATCGACCATAAAAAAAAGAGACAAAATTATTTTCCTTAATGTGACAGTAACAAATTATAAGTATATCCATTGAAAAGTAAATTTTTAGTTCATGTAGAAATACGAATTGATTCACATGTAAAAAAATATGTATAGATCTCGACTTCATATAACAGACCAAGCTTGATAGATATTTGGAGTGATATGTAAGTTGAAATACATAGACTATGGACTCATGCATAAATTAAAATGCATAAGACCAACATCAGTATCGATAAAACCTGACCCCAACATATATGGACTTTCCTTCACGTTATTCCTGTCCAGATATTATAAGATGAGCTTCACAACAGCTGGTGTCTAACTTAGGGACACAGAGATTGCATGAATATTTCCGTCTATTTCATGTTCTGTGGTGAAGGGTAGTTGGAGGGTGAGGAGGTGAAGGAGTAGGTGAAGGGTAGTTGGAGGGTGAGGAGGTGAAGGAGTAGGTGAAGGGTAGTTGGAGGGTCAGGAGGTGGAGGAGTAGGTGAAGGGTAGTGTAGTGAGGTAAGGAGTTGAAGAGGCAAATTCAGAAGACGACGGTAATATCAACTACCGCAGAGCATAAACCACCATCACCTCACCTCACCTCACCAATACCCTGCACCAACACGTTATTCACGACCGTAGTGTCATTTTTGCTTCATATTCATAAACGTTCCTCTAATGAGCCCCCCTCTCACCTGGCTGTACACAAAATCGAGTTTTGCAGGAAGACGCAGGTGTCGAATGCATATCGTATGGTCCTGCAGATCACGACACACCACCTGACCTTTGAGAATGAAAAGAGCAACGTGAAGTGTGGTCATTAGCGACAAATGATTTCACTTATATTACTCTCTTTTAAAATAGCTGTCATAAAGTCTATAAAATATTAATATATGTACAGTATTTCGTAATGATGCTTTCACGGTCCATGCAAATGTAACCAAAGTTCCTGGTTGGATATATATATTTTTTTGTCCTTCTTTTAAAACTTTTTTACATACGAATGTGATTTACGTCAGTCGTGGACACTCGCAGCTAAACACCAGCAACAACATATTAATCGTTCAGATGTATCCATAGCCATTACTTCTATGGAGAATATTCACAGGCAAATGCTTAATTCAGTTTAACCTATAATTTGCCTTGATTTATTTCTTGATATTTTAGGGAAACACACATCTGGCTAAACTCCTCGATAGTTGGACGTGGTAGTTTGTAACATAACCAAATTATCTTATTTACATCTTTAATCAAAATTTAGATATTATCCATTTGGTGTGATTAAGTGAAATTTCACTGTGCGGCCTCTATAAATATCAGAAGCTTCACTGTACAGCCTCTATAAAAATCAGAAGCTTCACTGTACAGCTTCTATAAACATCTGAAGCTTCACTGTACAGCCACTCTCAACAGGTATTCTTGCGGCTGTATTTATTATTGATATGTCTGTCATCCAGTTGGTCTTTCACTCGACTCGTTTGAAACTCCAATTTCAAGACGAAGACGATTCATCAATCTCTGGTATGTACTGTACTCGAGTTTTGCCATTGACAGACGATAAAGTTCATCTGAGTTTCGAAACCTCAAGAATTGTAGCGATATATCGCCAAGTCATAAATATCGCTGATACATGGAGCTCCTGCTTTTAAGAACGATAGCTACATCTAGTTTGAGAGACCTTCATGTCAACATAAAGGAACAATTCAACAAAAAAAGAAAATCATGTCAATATACTGAACACTTCAACCAAACTTCAGCTCCTCATCTGTAACGTCACAATCTCTATACACTACTTAAACACGCTCCAGTAGTTCTCTTATTCATCAAAATGTACAAAAACCACGCCTCCATCATCACTTGGGACAGTAGGAGGTGTTGGTGGTAGTGCTGAGGTGTTTACATGTCGACAAGTAGGTGAGTGAGTGAAGGATTTACAATGGTGGTCACAGAGCGTGTTGGAGGTAGGTGATGAAGACCTGGAGAACTGGCTCACTTTGACCCCCGCCTTCCCCACCCTCCCATACCCAACACCCCACCTCCTGCTAATCTCATTGGTTGTAAACATGGTCTCCTGCTTTAGGGCAAGGTGTAAAGGGGACGCTACTTGATGGGGGAGATTGAAGTGGTCTCGTAGAAGCTTAGTGGTGTACTTTCCAGGGTGATGGGAGTGTGCTTCGAGGTGAACACTGAATGCTTATTGGAGATGCAAACTGAAAGCTTATCGGAGGTGCAAACTGAAAGCTTATTTGGGTGTACATGGAGGTGAAATACTAAAAGTTTACTGAAGTGTGTTTGGAGGGGAATACTGAAAGCTTACTGGAGTGTGTTTGGAGGGAAATACTGAAAGCTTACTGGGGTGTAATTTGGAGGTAAGATTTGAAGTGTTTGAAGTTAATCTTTGAAGTGTGACCAGACTACGTTGAGTGTTTGGAGGTAAGTTTTGAGCGACTGTATGAGAACTCTTTGAGAGATGAGCTTTGAAGGGCATTTTTCACATCACACCTTATATCGCAATGGTAATATGTTTTGATTGTATTTTGGGGACACATGAAGATTAGCCCCCCAACTAATTTCATCTGATGATTAAGTTACCTTTAACACTACCTGGAGGTCTTAGGTCAGATTAGATTAGGTTAGTCTAGCTTAAGTTAGGTTTGGTTAGTTTAAGTGTGGGACGGGGTGTCGAATCTTCATGTGATATTTTTTTCTGTAACACATGTTCAGTATTTACGTAGAAAAAATAATAACCAATAAAAATTATTTGTCCTCCTTCAGAGAAACTCACGGAGACGAGCATCAAGTCTGAGGACGAGCTGGATGATGGAGCCGACATCGAAGCTGAAGATATCGACATCGACGTGGTCTCTGACAAGGATGACTGTGATCTCGACAGTACCAAAGACCCACTCGACCGCCCTGGTTCTAAGTCTCCTGAATCGACCTCCTCCGACTCTCACTCCAACCACAAGACGGACAAAGCCTCCAAGTTGGAGATGAAGACCAAGGGTAATTGTCCTGAGCTGGAGAGCATCGATTGCCACTTGGAGACGAAAGAGCTCTGGGAGAAGTTTTTTGAGCTCGGTACAGAAATGATCATCACTAAAACTGGAAGGTAGGTCTTATTATTTTATTTATATATATATATATTTTTTTTAACTTTCTTATATGTTCTTGTTATAATTTTATTTTATTTTATTATTTTATTTTATTTTTATCTTTTTAATTCTTTTCTTTTCGTTTTTTTATAATTTATCCAATAGTCTTTATTTGTTATACTATTTCTATTATTTATCTTATCAATTATTCATCAATTTATTTATTATCTATTTATCTATCGTTGATGCAGAGGTATTCCATTTATATTTCACTTACATAATCACTTCCTGGGTGTCTTATTTACTTCAAACTGACAAAAGAAAACGGGATTATAATGGTAAACGAAGGGGGGGAACTCTCTTATTTTAGTTATTGAAGCTCAGTAATACATTATAACATTAACGTGTTGGGAGCCACAGCACACGACGAGCGACCTGTAGTGTTGAGAGTGATTAATGTTAGATCGTCGACAGCAACAACTATCAATTATACACTGCATCATCACCTACTGTTCCATAACCCTTCCTTCCTGTTCCACAACCTCTCTACTGTTCCCTATACAACCTGTTCCATGATCTTCTGCTCTTCACCTTCCCCCCACCCCCTCCCAGCACCAACCTTCCTTCCTTCCTTCCTCCCCATCCACTCCTCTCAACCACCTCCCAACCAGACCTTCCCTCTCCCCCACCCCTCCCGCTGCGCCCAGAATGCTCCCTTGTCAAGCTTTTCTTTTCAATTTTATGGGTTTTCTAATTTTGATTTTGGGGCTGCAGAGACACACCGGGGATGACACTGTAAGTGGTTCTGCCACCACCCCCCCTCATCTACATCCTGGAGGAGGAGGTGTCAGGAGGTGGGAGGGTCATGGAGGTGCCGGGAGGTGAGGCCGCGGAGGTGTTGGGAGGTGGTGGAGAAGGAGTGAGGTGTTGGGAGGTGGTGGAGAAGGCATGAAGTGTCGGGAGGTGGTGGAGAGGTCATGAGGTGTTGGGAGGTGGTGGGAGGCCAGGAAGTGTTGGAGGTGGTGGAGAAGGCATGAAGTGTTGGGAGGTGGTGGAGAGGTCATTAGGTGTCGGGAGGTGGTGGAGGTCATGAAGTGTTGGGAGGTGGTGGAGGTCATGAGGTGTCGGGAGGTGGTGGAGGAGGCTGGCTAGGGGTGTCGGGAGGCAGATGGAGGCTGGCGGAGGTGTCGGGAGGTGGTGTGGAGGCCAGGAAGGTTGGAGTAGGTGATCAGTAGCTGGGGAGTGCAGTAGGAGCAGTTAGTGGGACAGCTGGGGAGGATCATGAGGTGTTGGCTATATGCAAGGTGGAGGCAGGAGGTCATGAGGGAGGTTATGGAGGTCATGAGGGAGGTTATGGAGGTCATGAGGGAGGTTATGGAGGTTATGAGGGAGGTTATGGAGGTCATGAGGGAGGTTATGGAGGTCATGAGGGAGGTTATGGAGGTCATGAGGGAGGTTATGGAGGTTATGAGGGAGGTTATGAGAAAGAGGACCGGGAGGGAGGGGGGTGTTGCTGTCCCGGGTCATCTCAGGTTACCCCTTGGACAGTTGTACACGTGTTGATGGTTTAAATAGCAAATATATTTACTTGGATACAGTTTCTTGTCATTTTCTCTAAGAAATCATGGAATTTGTGGATCCTGGTTAGAACTCATTTCTTCTGTATGATAATGTTAAAAGAGTCTATTGTTTTCGTTAATATCTGCAGGAAAATACGCAAATTTCTCGGCTACTGTTGTCGTCCGAGGACACACTGAGCCTCCCTGGAAGTCGACGTGTGACCCCTCCCGCCGCCGTTCCGGAACACCGCGCCATTGTTGTCGTCCTCGCGGGGATTGTTAGCCCGTGTGTCGCCTTCCCGGCCACCGCTCGCCGGGATAAACACCCGTATCCGGGCTCATTTATCCTTATAAATCCGCTCTTAATCATGATATATCATCTTCACTCAGCTAGTAACAGTTGCCGCTAAAACCTCTTTTTAAACGCTGCTGAAGATCCAGGAGACGTTCAAGAAGTCGACGGTCAGGATGTAAACAAAGGAATAAAGCGTCGACTTGATGGCCTTTGCCCTCTCCTCTTCCCCTCCCACCCACCCACCCTAACTTACCCTTCTCGCCACCGTCTGCCACAAAAGCGATCTATTGACAGGCTCTTGACGGGAAGGGTCGGGAACATTTGCTGCTCTCGGCATCAGTGACAAGTGGAAACAGTCGCTGGTGATTTGCTGGTAATGCAAGGGAGGGAGGAGGCCAACACACACACACACACACCCTAAACAAGAAAACGAAGAAAGGAACCAAATTGGAGGCTTTCCTTTGTTGATCGGTTTTGAAGCCTCGTTCGTGGCCTTCAAGTGAGCTTTGTTTGCTGCTACAAAAAAAAAAAGAGACGCTTGGAGGGACATCCGTTTGTTTAACTTGACTTTTGTTTTGGGGAAATATCGCTTAAGTAAATTGAGCTTTTGTTTAAGTGTGAAAAGGAAAGACTGTCTCTAGAGTGAATACGTTCGAGTTGTGAAGCCTGCCCCCCCCCCCCTCTCTCTCTCTCTCTCTCTCTCTCTCTCTCTCTCTCTCTCTTCACACATACAATACATACATCATAATTTTTAACGTCAATGCTTATATTCGCTGCTCTTATATCACCAGAAATGATTATTGAGTGTTTTATGGCTGTGGGGGAGAGGAGGAAGGAGGAGGAGGAAGATAGATTGTGTTACGGCGAATTGACACAAAATTGGTTCCCCTTACTTCTACGTCAGCAGATGTCCCGTTTCATCCTGCATAAGCGTTACTCTACCCCTTCCACCCCCCCTCCACCACCTCTACTCCCCTCCACCCCTCTACTCCCCTCCCCACCTCTGCTCCCCTCCACCCCACCTCTACTCCCCTCCACCCACCCTCTCTCCCCTCCACCCACCTCTACTCCCCTCCACCCCACCTCTTTCTCCCTCCACCCCCTCTACTCCCTCCACCCACCTCTACTCCCCGTCCACCCACCTCCTCTCCCGTCCACCCTCTACTCCCCCTCCCACCCACCTCCTCTCCCTCCACCCACCTCTCCCTCCACCCACCTCTACTCCCCTCCACCCACCTCTACTTCCCTCCACCCACCCTCTGAGTAAGGAAATGCTATCGTACGTGCTATCACATTGGGCTATAATTTACTCGAGCTGTCATCAGGAATTATAGCGTTTCTATAACGATTGTACAGCGCGGCGGACAATAATAATCGTTTGTTCCGAGACGCTTCAGTTCAAACTACTGGTTAGTTCTTCAATACATCTTCTTCCTCCTCCTCCACTAATAGCTCATTTTATTGGACTATTAGGTAATCGAGTGACAATAGGTATCTAGTCAAGGGTACACTAAATGACTATTCTTTAACCTAACCTAACCTAACCTAACCTAACCTAACCTAACCTAACCTAACCTAACCTAACCTAACCTAACCTACCCGTAACGTACATTAGGCTTAGTTAAAATACATATAGTCCGAATCAACACTAGTTCTCATTGGTCTAGAATCAACACTACAGTTCTCATTGGTCCAGAATCAACACCAATAGTTCTCAATGGCTGGATCAGAACCGATTTTCACTGGCTGTTCCCCAAAGCTAGTTTTCATTGGCCCGACCGGGATCATCGAAGCTGGTTCTCATTGGCTGGTCTGAGTGTTATCACCGAGGGACAGAAAGCGCTGTTGGTTAGGCGGGGATATCGAAAATTGCTCGTTGATGAATAATGATCTGATTACTTGATTGGCTGTCGGTGCTAACGCCATTGCGGGTGATCTGGGTGACAAGGGTTGGACGGCTACGAGGTATCTGATGGGCGTACTGATGGGCCTGCGTTGTTTTAATGGATATTATCGCATTATCGCCTCCAGTTTGTCGCGTCGATGAAGTTATGTGCGGCGTGGACAGCCTGTGTGATGGTGTGGCCTGTGTTGTGGTAGTGATGGTGGTGCTAGCGTGTGGTTGTAATAGTGGTGTGATGATAGTGATGTGGGTGTTGGTGTTGGGGAAGTGGGGTGGGGAGGGGGGGTGGGAGGGGAAGGGGGGAGGGGGGGGTGGGGAGGGTGGGGAGGAGGGAGGGGGGAGGGGTGGGGAGGGGAGGGGGGGGAGGGAGGGGGAGGGGAGGGGAGGGAGGGGGAAGTGGGTGGGAGGAGGGGAGAATGGTGGGGTGGGGGGAGAAGGGGGATGGGGGGGGAAGTGGGAGAGTGGGAGGGAGGGGGGAGTGGGGTGGGGTGGGAGGTGAGGGAAGAGTGGGGTAGGGAAAGATGTGGGGAGGGAAGAAGGAAGAGGAGGGATAGGTAAGGTGGGGAGGGAGGAAGAGGTATGCAAGGAGGAGAGGAAGGCCTTGGGTTGAGGTGGAGAGGAAGAGAGAAAGACTTGGAGAGGGAAGCCCAGTGGGAGATTGAGGGTTGGGAGGGACAGGGGCCGGGAGATTGAGGGTTGGGAGGGACGGAAGCCAGGGGGAGATTGAGGGGAGGGAGGTGGGTGGGGTGATTGAGGATTGGGAGGGAGGAGCATGGGGTGAAAACAGCAGGTTAAAAAGTAATAATCAGAGATATTTAGTTTGTGAGTTTGGGGAGGAATTACCTGATCTATATAATAATGAGGGGGGCGTACCTTGTAATCTGGGGGCTTGTTTGGGAGTTAAGACTGTGTGTGTGTGTGTGTGTGTGTGTGTGTGTGTGTGTGTGTGTGTGTGTGTGTGTGTGTTGTGTGTGTGTGTGTGTGTGTGTGTGTTGTGTGTGTGTGTGTGTGTGTGTGTGTGTGTGTGTGTGTGTTGTGTTGTGTGTGTTGTGTGTGTGTGTGTGTGTGTGTGTGTGTGTGTGTGTGTGTGTGTGTGTGTGTTGTGTGTGTGTGTGGTTGATTTAGTTACATTAGGTTGGGTTAAGTTAGGTTAGGTTAGGTTAGCACAGAATGGGTTAATCTAAGTGTAATTTTATCTTACCGATGCTAATCTACTTTACAACACCATGAACTAATTAACAAGATAACAAGCGGTTCGAC